GGGAGAGACGATCTCTCAGAGGAGTGCAAAGAAAAACACGGCTGGATGACTGTAATTATATTAATGGGCCCCGGGGGGACCGCCTCCCTCCACCTCCAGAGGAACTTTCCATCTCCTCCTGGATCCAGAGATCGGGGCGGTGACAACCTCGCGCGTCATATAATTTGTATTGATCGCCTTCTGCCTGCCGCGGCTTCGCTGCTACTCCTGCTGGGAAAAGGTCTAACGTAAAAAAGCCGGCTGGTTGTGTGGTCCTTCAAGGGGACCCAACGAGGGGCCACGTAGGGATGGTCACCGATGAGGGACTATTTGGGCCAACGATCAAAAACAAATGAATTCTTTTGAAGCCGAAGTACTTATTGTCCCTGGATAAAAAAGAGCCATGTAGGGCTGCTCAGAGTTGAGGGACCCTGTAGGGATGCTCAGAGCTGAGGTACCAAGTAGGGATGCTCAAAGTTGAGGGGGCGTGTAGGGATGCTCAGAGACGAGGGGCCGAGTAGGGATGCTCAGAGACGAGGGGCCGAGTAGGGATGCTCAGAGACGAGGGGCCGAGTAGGGATACTCAGAGACGAGGTACCAAGTAGGGATGCTCAGAGACGAGGGGCCGAGTAGGGATACTCAGAGACGAGGTACCAAGTAGGGATGCTCAGAGACGAGGGGCCGTGTAGGGATGCTCAGAGACGAGGTACCAAGTAGGGATGCTCAGAGACGAGGGGCCGTGTAGGGATGCTCAGAGACGAGGGGCCGTGTAGGGATGCTCAGAGACGAGGTGCCGTGTAGGGATGCTCAGAGACGGGGGGCCGCGTAGGGATGCTCATAGACGAGGGGCCGTGTAGGGATGCTCATAGACGAGGGGCCGTGTAGGGATGCTCAGAGACGAGGGCCCGTGTAGGGATGCTCAGACAAGAAATAAAATATTTGTTGCCCGATGGGGTAGATTTTTGGGGATCCTTCCCCTGACCTCTGACCTTTTTTTTTTTGTCTCCCACAAGGTTTGAAGCTTCCTCTGGAGGCAGATCCATGCCCGGCTGGCTCGGGATCGCTGGACGACCTGGATAACCGTTTCCCGCCGGCTCTGTCCAGCCCGGAAGAGCGCTGCGCAGCACTGAAGGAGGAGTTTTTGGAGTACCAGCGGCGCCGGCGGGCGGCGCAAACACTGAACCGGAAGAGCAAAGACTTTGAGGAATGTTACGAACAAGCCACGCTACTCTGACCCCGGCGCTGCCCTTCGACCTATCGGCGACAAGACCGCAAGGGACACTGTAACCCCGGGCATTACAAGACGTTCTCACCCGCAAGTCTTTGTGACGCACCACCTTTACCCGTACCCGCCGACCATACATCAGGGTTCTTCTTTTAACCAAACGACTCATTCTTTAAACAAAAATTTAAGCGCCACTTAATTCCCACCGACTGCGGCCACCGGTCCGCACAACGCTTTCAAAAACACCGGCAGAATTCTGGTGAGCCCTTCCACCTTCCCTCCTTTTTATTGGTCAACTGTCATACGCTGCAACGAATCCCAACTTCACGGCAACTCTCTCGGCCGAAAATGTTAATTCCGTGCCCAAAAAGTTGACCGAAACGGTACAATTTTTTTTCCCTTCGGCAAAGGTCAAAGGTGATGAGATCGGGCCGGTATGGAACCCGTAACTTATAGAAACGCTTTAAGATGGAGAACCTAGAGGAAGAGCTGATGATATAAAACGTTATAGACTTGGAGGTCAAAATGTTTACATATGTGAAGGAAATTTTTGTTATAGGAGATGCCTCGGTGTCATGTTTGTGTTGGAATGACGCAAAGGGCCGATAGCTAGAAAAGAGGGGCGCACAAAATGGGGGTCGGGGGAGGTGCCGGATTGTATTGCGAACTTCCTTTAAGCTATGATGTGACAACTATGGTCCCGGCTAGGACTTTTTTTGGCAAAGCACTGACCAGTAGAATTCACATTTGGGGTCTCTTGTGGGGTTAGCAGTAGTCTCAACTAGAGCTGTACCTGTTATGGGTTGGGGGTCCACTAATGTACCTGTTATGGGTTGGGGGGTCCACTAATGGTCAGGTTCCAGTAGCATCTATTGGGTATCCCTTCATTGGAGGTCAGGTTCCTGTAAGATCTATTAGGTATCCTTTCTTTGGAGGTCATGTTTCTGTGGCATCTATTGGGTAGCCCTTCGTTGGAGGTCCTATTTCTGTAACATCTATTGGGTAGCCCTTCGTTGGAGGTCCAGTTCCTATGGCATCTATTGGGTATCCTTTCTTTGAAGGTCATGTACCATGGGAAATTGACAATTTGAGTCCAAGAATAATGACTCATGAGGTCTCATCTCGCATCCTGTGGTTGAAACCATAACCCTCCTGTCCATCTCGCTTTTTGGAAGCGTAGACCTAATAAAATTGATATTCTAGCTTGTGCCGTCTTCATCCTCTTCAAACCTTCTTTTTTTTGTTATATTTTTGAGGATGATGAAGACCGCCTCCAGCCAGAACTGGATCTTCTATATGATTCTCTAGATGGACAGCTGTTGGTGAATTATGAATCCCATCATGCAGGTCCTGATGGGCATTGTTCTCCAACACTTGGAAACTGGCAATTTGCCTCAATTTGTACCTTTTGTAAGGCACTTCTCCCATTTCCCTTCACCAATATGGGCCCATCACATTTTACCAAAAGGTCCCATTGCCAAGAACTGATGACACTTGAATGGATGTATCAGATGTTCCAACCCGTAGACAGGTTTGGGCCTATCTTAATGGCAAAATGTAAACCTTTTAGACCAATTTTACAAATTTGGTCGTGCTCTTCAAACAGTTGACGAGTTCGATGTCCTGCCCTTTCCCGGAAAGTAGGACGTGTGCTTGAAGTAACAACCTCATTGGCTGGGTTATAGATTGGGGCACCTGACACCTCTTAGGTAACGGAGGTCATCCACACCCCCACGTAGGGTTGGCAGCATTTCAAGGCAAGACGTGATGTATATTTTTACTGCTCCTGGAATGCGGCTTCTCGACGTCTTACTACAACCGCACATGAAAAAAATTGCGGTGACCTTGATCCAGAAGATATTTTCTTTTTTGTTGTACAGGAAGGGGCTCCCCGGGGGATAGAGAACAGCAGCTGAAACCTATCATCCCTTTCCTCCTTCCTTCCTCGTCCTGACGTAAGCTTGGCCACGCTCTAACCGTTCTGTTAAACGCAACACCTTCTGCTAAGTCCTTGATCGGAGAAAACTTAAACCTCGTATAAAACACATAAACTTTGCCGGGGGCCACATTTTACAGAAGTGACATATTCACTGCAAAAACAAACCCGGGTCCTGCGAGCTGACGCGTTTGCGGTGAGATTCAAAAATAAACAGAGAGGTCTGAGAACCTTTTGCTTCGTAGCTATGGAGGAAGCGGCTGGTTTCGGTGTTAGGGGCAGGCGACCTCGGCGCTCCTGGCCGTGGTGGAACTACAAATCCTACCATATCTCTGCCTCTGGGAGTCATGCCTGTGGCTTTTGGGGTCGTGTAATGCCTCATGGGATTTCAGTTCGAGGTGGACACTGGCTTCATATTTATTTATCTGGGGCTCAAAGATTTCTGCGGCGCAGGTTTCCAACTCCCGGTCCTCGGTGCAGCTAGTTGTAGTTCGGGAAGGATAGTCTCGGGTTACATTCATTTCAAATGAGACCGCTGGTTGTGGTTGTACACGCAGGAAATTTGATTTGCCAGAGTCCCCGAGGCCAACCCTTCAGATGCCGCCTAGAATTAAAAAAGTTAGTTTTGAGTGGACTGGCCCTTTAAATCAGCGGGCTACCATATTGTGATAACTGCAGCTTAAAGGGGGAACTCCACTGAGCAGTCCAGACTAAAATAATGGTCTTTTATAGAATCTCTCTTCTACAAGCTGTGTGTGGCCACGCCCACTCCTTGTCATAACAGTGGTGGAGGCGGGCACAAGCATGCCCCCCCCCCCACACACACACTATCTGTCATTGACCTTCATTGACCTTAAAGGGGGTTGGCTCAGGCACAAAGCCGACTGATCTGCATCTCCCAACTTCTCCTTGTCTACTCCTCCTTCCCGTCCTGCAGCTCCTTTTCTGAACTTCATCTTGCTTTTTCTCTCCTGCCCTTCCCCATCCTTCCATGTGACCTTTTCCTTTCTTATCCATGACTCTTCTCTTACCAGCCTCATCTTGAATGACATTACCCTCCACCTCTAGACTGATGTTCACCTTTTTCTTCACTGTTTGCCTCCCATGGTGATAAAAGCCCCCCTGAACCTTCTTAATGGACCTTTTTGGCACCTGGCCTCAAGGATTATTTTTTTCCCACCAGTCACAGCCCCATCTCCATTGTCCTCCACCTGTAGACTAACCCATCTTCACCAGCCTCTCTTTTCAAGTCTCCTTTGCTCTTAATCTGTTCCAGGTGTTTCCTAGTTCTCACAGTCCTTCCTATGCTTCCCCTTCCTGTCCATTTTTTCCCCTTGCTGGCCTTTGCCTCCCATGATGATATAAGCCCTCCTTAATGGACCTCGAGGCCTATCGTGTCCCACCACTCACAGCCCCATCTTCATTGTCCTCCACCTGTAGACTAACCTATCTTCACCAGCCTCTCTCTTTCAAGTCTCCCCTTACCACCACGTCTTAAATTGGTTCCAGCTGTTTACTTCCTCAAAATCCTTCCTACATTTCCCTTCCCTTTTTTCTCTTGGTGGTCTTTGCCTCCCAAGATGATAAAAGCCCCCCAAACCTTCTTAATGCACCTTTTTGGCCTCCAGGCCTATTTTGCCTCACCATTCACAGCCCCATCTCCATTGTCCTCCACCTATAAGGTAACCCAGCCTTCAAGTCTCCCTTTACCACCTTGTCTTAAATTGGTTCCAGCTGTTTACTTCCTCAAAGCCCCTCCTACGTTTCTCTTCCCATCCCATTTTTTTTCTTTGGTGGTCTTTTTTTGCTTCTCATCCTGATTAAAGGCCCTTCAGACTGTTCTCAATTGACCTTCTGGCCATATGGCCCATGAAGTCCCACCACTGAATACACTTTATAGAAGGGCAGCATGGAACAAATGTAATATTACTGTTTCCTCCCTTAAAGTCCTTCCAAGTTTTTCCTTCCCTGCCCATTTTTTTCTCTAGGTGGTCTTTGCCTCCCATCCTGATAAAGGCCCTTCAGACGGTTCTCAATGGACCTTCTGGCCATATGGCTTATAAAGTCCCACCACTGTTCCATGCTGCCCTTCTTTAAAGTGTATTAAAAGGTAATATTACTGTTTCCCCCCTTAAAGTCCTTCCTAGCCCATTTTTTGTTCTCTTGGTGGTCTTTGCCAGCCATCCCGATAAAGGCCCTTCAGACTGTACTCAATGGACCTTCTGGCCATATGACCCATGAAGTCCCACCACTGTTCCATGCTGCCCTTCCGTAAAGTCCTTCCTAGTCTTTCCTTCCCCGCCCATTTTTTACTCTTTGTCTTTGCCACCCATCCCGATAAAGGCCCTTCAGTCGGTTCTCAATGGGACCTTCTGGCCATACGGCCCATGAAGTCCTACCACTGTTCCATGCTGCCCTTCTTGTCCCGATGAGCATTGTGTCCAGGACATAAACTGATGGGAAATACAACATTTTACAGTTGTCACCACAACAGAAGTAGCAGGGGGCGTCTCCAAAGCTGACAGCTGTCTAAGTGATCCAAGATTTTCCTTTTTAATTTTATTTTTTCACTTCCCGTGTTGTCTTCAGGACAGGAAATGAAATGTTCTCAATGGGACGCAGGTACCAAAAAAATAATAATAGCAGAATGTTAACCATACCATGTACCCAAAATTGAAAAATAAAAAAATTGGATCTAGATATTTTTTAATCTTACCAAATTCCCTTTCACTTACAAAATTGTTTTACCCAATTTTCCTTATTTTTTTATTTCACTTCCCGTGTTGTCTTCAAGACAGGAAGTGACATTTTCTCAATGGGGCACAGGCAAAAAGATAAATAAATAATAGCAGGATATTAACCATAACATGTACCCAATTAAAGAATATCTAGAGCCAATTTTTTCTAATTTTTCAGTCTTACAAAATTCCCTTTCCTTTCACTGTTTTACTCAATTTTCCTGCATTTTTTTCACTCCCAGTGTTGTCTTCAAGACGGGAAGTGAAATTTTCTCAATGGGAAACAGGCAAAAAGATAAAATAGCCGGATGTTAACCATACCATGTACGCAAAATTGAAACATAAAAAAAATTGGCTCTAGATATTTTTTAATCTTATAAAATTGCCTT